GCAAGAAGACAAAACAAAGGGTGCCCACTCTATCCATGCCTTCTCTAATGATCTTTTACATGCAACTGTGCACTAGGACTACCAAGCTACTGGATGACCCCACAGTCCAGAGCTGCAAATGTAAATCCTGGTGTTCCATCTGGCCCGCCACTACTAATGATTCATGCAGAATTCATCTGACACATTTCCCCAAGATGGATGTATGGATGATGGAACAAACGAACTTTCCACCTGCTGGGTATATTAAGTCGCTTCCAAGACTTTGTGGAAAAATGAAATGAAAGGATAATGGAATTTTTCCATGAACTATTTGAAGTCCCCTCATATGAACTGAGAGAACCCAAAACTAAATATGGTGATGGTGATGCTCAATTCTCCTAGAATGTGTGGGGAACAAGACCAGCACATCGTGAGTTAAAGCCCCAAAGACTATTTGAACGTACTACTGAAACCATGCCCGAAACACTGACCATCCCAGTTACCTAAGCAAACAGTGTCACCACTTAAGGTAGGTTGAGTTTGTGATTCTTTCTTTCTTTTTTTTCAATTTAGCAAAGTTCCAGCAAAATATTAACCCTTTCTACCCTGTCTTGGAGTCCTTGCTGTGACTTAACGTGCTGGACTGCAAGTTCAGTTTAAACCTCAATGTTGGCGGTTCAAGCTCACCAGCTTGGAAACCCTATACAGGGTCACTTGAGTCAGAACAGAAGGCCCTTAACAACAACTCTTGTCTTAGTTCTCTAGTGCTGCTATTAACAGAAAAACATATAAGTGGGTGGCTTTAACAAACAAATTTATTTTCTCTCAGTTTAGGAAGCCAGAAATCCTAGCTCAGGGTGCTGGCTCTAGGTGAAGGCTTTCTCTTTTGTTGCCTCTGGAGGAAGTGCTTTGTCTCCTCTGAGCTTCTGCTCTTGGGCACTCTTTATATGGTCTGGCATCTCTTTTCCCCTATCTCAGGCTTCTCTCACTTGCTTATTTAATCTCTTTTCCCCCATCAAAACAGAATGACTCAAAACACACCCTTTACTAATCTTGTCTCTTTAACATAACAAAGACAATTCATTCCCAAATGGGATTATAATGTCATGCATTGCTGTTGTTAAGTGCCGTCAAGTCTGTTCCTGTTCTGCCCACAGCAGCCTTGTACATTCACCCTATATGGGGTTTCTGAGGAGCAGCTGGTGAGCTTGAACCACCTTTGCTGCCCAGCACATTAATCCACAGCGACACACCAGAACTCCAACCACATGCATGTTGTTAAGCTGTTAAGTGCCATCAAGTCGGTTCCAACTCATAGCGTGAACTGCCGATCTGTGGTTCACAGTCCAGCGCTGATCCGACAGTGCCATACCAGAAGTCCAACCACATGCACTGACGCTAGGATTTACAACACATATTCGTAGGGAACACAATTCAATCCGTATCACACCCACACATCTTGAAGCCTCCACCTTCTCTTGATATTCTTCTTTCCCAGAACTCTCACCCCAGACTCTCTGTCCTCAGTTTCCCACCTCTTCTGAGCCAGTTTACCAGAGGATAACTGTTCTCCATCAGATGGGATCCCTCTGAGATAGTCTTCACAGCAAGTTTCCAAGTCAGCCTTGCACAGCCCTGTGACTGCGCATGGGTACCGCCACCTCCCACTCCACACCCACCATTAATCTTTCCTTGCCTACAGAGCTCTGGTACTATTTCCAAGTCTGGATGCTGTTTAAATCTGGAAAAGCAAGTCTAAGTATTCCATTTACTTGATTGTACTGTTCAGCATGTTCTTACATGAAAACAGGTGGGGTGAAGTACTTCACATGAAGTCAGTGGGTCTAAAAGTGAGATAGTATCTAACAGAATCACAGTGTCATTGACTTGTGTGTGGTCTATGTACTCATGCAATATATAATGCATGATCTATATTGTTGTTGTTGTTGTTGTTAAGTGCCTTTGAGTCGGTTCCGACCCATAGCGACCCTTACATACATGAAATAGCTTCAAAAAGTTCATAGCAACATCCCACTATCTTTCAATTCTATTTCTCCATAAACTTCTTGAAGGGCCCTTGTACATTTAATCCTTGTAGAGCGTAACCACGCAGGGGAGACTGGTGGTCTCAAGGGTGGCTCTCCATTGAGTGTGCCCTGTTCTGATAGGGCACATTCTAAAATCTGGTAAGCCTAAACCCAATCGAATGAAACAGCTGCAATAAAGGACAATTATTCACACTATAAAAAGAGCCTTTACTTTATAAAGGGGTTTACTGTAAGGTTCTGATGAACTGTGTACTGCCTAACAGCTTATAGAAGAGAGTTTGATTTTCCTGAGACTTTACAAAGGCATTACACCTTTGAACTGAACTTGTTTTTTTTGACTGTAGAAGGCAACATTCAAAACCGGTTCATTTTATGTGTAGCACTACTCACCAGTAGTGAGCAAGGGAGCAAAAGAATGGCACCAAATATCATGAGATGAGCTTAGACAGACCTTTGACTCAGGGACAAGCAAGGCTCTTGAGAACAGGCTTTTGCTGTTAAAGGGTTCTTTGCTGCCACTACAGAAAGCGATCATGGTACCCACCTTCTCAACCCATAACAATGTTTTAGGATTGAATAACAGTAACAATAGCAGAAAATACTTATATATGTATCAGGTAAGGCATCCTGGTGCTGTAATGGTTAAGGGCTCGGCTGCTAACTCTAGGGTCGGCAGTTCAAACCCACCAGCTACCCCATGAGAAAAAAGACCTGACGATCTCCTTGCATGAAGATTACAGTCTCGCAAACCCTATGAGGCAGTTCTAGTTTGTCCTATTGGTCGATAGGAATTGGAACCAGTTTGATGGCGCACAACAACATGTATTAAACACACATCTAAGTGCCTTACAGGTATTAACTCTTGCATCCTCTCTATAACTCCACATCAGGTTACTCTTATCTCTGTTTTTATAAATAAGCAAAGGCATGTACTGAGAGGCTACACTGCTGATGATCAGGGGCAGTAATAGGCAAAACAGAATGCAGACAGTATGGGACCAGGGCCATACTATTAATTATGCTCCAATCTATAAGGAGCCCTGGTGGCACTGGGCTGCAAACTCACCAGCCCCTCTGTGGAGAAAGAGAAAGCTGTCTGCTCCTGTAAAGATTTATAGTCTCAGAAACCCTGTCTGTAGAGGGTTGCTATGAGTTGGAACTGACTTGGGGCTTGTCTAGACTCTGCTGTCCCTTCAGTGGTCTCTCTGACAACAGCCTAACTCACAGGGCTTTCCTGCATATTATACGATCACTTAGACTAGGGCCTGGCACACTATTTAGTGAGAATGTGCTCACTAAACACTAGCTCTTATCATCACCATCATTTCAGCTCGTAGTCCTGGTCTATCTTTTTGCTTTACCAGTCCCCCATTATTTAAATCATTTACTACTGTTCTCTGCTATGTTCCAAAAATAATTGAAGGTAGGCTTGTTCTCCCTGTTATGTTAAGTAGTGCCTGATAGTTCATGATTATAGGACACTAGGGAAACAGAAAGGAAAGCCTTATACTTATAGGAGGAGAGTCATCTGACCCAGATCTGACATTCCTGAGGTGAACTTCAGATGGGAGATAGGAGTTATTGGTCAGTCTCACTGCATGAAAGCCACCCTACCAACAAATGGCTTCCAGAGATCTGGAATGAAGGCAGATAGGTTCAACCTACAGGGTCTATCATGTCCCAATTTAAGAAAGAAATCAAAACCACCCACCACTGTATCTAAAGAAGCTACCAGATTAAATTTCTCCAAATTTAGTCTTCACCAGAAAAATCTGGGAACATCACACCCAAAGATTCTAAGTCAGCAGATCTCTAACATGAATGGGTCTTTGGAACAAGCTCTCCAGGTGCATCTGATGCAGGTGGTCCAATGACCACATTCGAGGAACCCTGGCCTAGATACTGCTCTGCTCTCAACTACGGCAGTTAAGAGCAAATGAGTTGGGAAAGAGTAGTTCAGCCTTCATTAAAGGTACTTACTAAACCAAAGAAGCAAAAACTGACATCATATGGGAGATATTTCTGAGCAACACGGAAACATTCAGAGGATATGAAACCCTCCATAAAATGTATTAAAATTTCCCCAGCATTCCATTCCACTGGAGTTTTATCCCATGGGCAGACCAAGCCAAGACTCCCAGCTCAAAGCCCCCATATTTCAGGAAAAGGATATCATGTTTGGTAAGGTGGCAGGTCAGAGATACTGAGGAAGACCCCCAACGAGATGGACTGGCCAAGTGGCAGCATCGATGGACTCAAGGGTGGCAACAATAGTGAGGTTGGCCCAGGACTGGGCAGTGTTTCATTCTGCTGTGCATAAGGTCGCTATGGGTCGGTACCGACTCAGTGGCACTTAACAACAACAGCAACATTAATAGTCTCCAGAGGGTCACCAGGAGCAAAGAATAATCCCCTAGCAGGCACTCGAAGCATCTGACTCAAACAATATTTGTGTCAAGGTCCCAGTGATTCCAGCTTCTTACCTTTCACCCTGTGTGGGAACAAGCTAGAAATTCTTGTCCACTCTCTACTCTTAAACCAGACTTGAGTCAAGATTAACATGTACACCTGTGGCCCTGGAAACAGATGTCTGGGCCACTGGCAGCAGAGGGCAAGAACTACATTAACTATGAGAAATGGACAGAAGAGAAAGAGCTAGTCAGCTCCATGCTGAGTTGTCCCTCAGCTCCCTGGGAATCAGAATTATAGCTGAACGACTCTAATAAGAGTGCAGGGCATCAGAACAGTAGCAGGGATGTCTACCTGCTGTTAGAAGTCAAAATGACATAGTCAAAGACAGCAGTACACCCAGGAAACACCAGGCAAGACAAGCCATCCTTAATGGTATCAACTGGGGTACAGTACTCCCAAGAGAGTTCACTTCACAGACATCAAAATATGCCTGCAAGTTCTTAAAGGCAGCCAGGCTCCAAGCACAAGGACCACCACACCAACCAGGTTTGAGGCTCTTACCTGACTGGAACACATATCTGGCCAAGCCTTGCATTAGCTCTGCTGGCCACGTTGGTGGGGCAGATTCTCCTGTTTCTCTCTTCAAACGAAATGTTAACTCAAAGCCAAAACCACTAGGCCCGTCTGTTCCTGTAAACCTGAAAGAATAAAAAGCAGAGTAAAATTCTCCCCGATTTTTTTTTGTGTGTGTGTGGTCTCAGCATCAAGCCCAGTCAGAGAATCTCCCAGAGTGTGAGCCTTATATAGAGGAAGGACCTCAAAAGCCTGAAATGAAGCAAATATCTTATCTTGCCAGCTATGAATACATGTGTATGACTTTGGCTTGGCCAATTAAAACACCCTGTATGGCACTCTGAATTATGAATGCCAGACTCTGTGGCTATAGAACATTCCTTTCTATGTGACTGCAGTCCCATTACTGGAAATCTGCCTTATTCATATTCCTTATTCCTTCAAGCTATTAATAAGCACCTACTTTGTTTGCTGAGGATTCATGTCATTTCACAAACATGTCTTATGACCCACCAATGAGGCTATATACTCTGTGAGGACAAGACCCTTTCTCTACCCCTACCCACCCAAGCAACAGCCAGCTCTGGATCCTGCCCCATAATAGTGCACAAAATGGACTTGCTGGCTGGCTGACTGCTGACCTTTAACCTCAGTGTTTATGGACAGGTTCCAAGGTAAATTAGAAAAGTACTGTTGCTGTTAAGTGCCACTGAGTCGGTTCGACCCATAGTGACCCTCTCTGTATAGGGTTTCCGAGGAGCAGCTGGTGAGCTTGAACTGCCAAGCTTGTGATTCTGGGGGGCCCATATTCTTCCTGAAACTCGGAACCCCAAACATACTCATCAATTAGTACTTTCTCTTCCTGAAACCTGGCATTCTGTGTAAACACTTCAATCACTGGAGCCTGGGATAGCACACTTTGCTCTCGCTCCCTAGTCCCAAGTGGCCCACAATATCCAGGATTATTGACTCTGTGGCCACAACTCAACACAGTGATGATAAGGCAAAGCAGGAATGCCAACCTCCCTGTCTACTACGAAACATTCAGAAGCCCTGAGGATCCAGACAAGTCCCTAAAGTCCACTTCTGCCAGAGAGGCCAATGATGTGGATTACAGAGCAAGGGCTGGCTGGTGAGGCGCCGCATCTCCTCAGGTGAGAGAAACTTCAAGGGAGGAGTTCCTAAGAGCTACATGAAGCTTGTCAGCATGGGAAAGGGTAAAATATGTTCATGACATAATTTTCAGTAATTATATCTTGTATAAACATGAGCCACAATGATTATACACATGTAAACTCTCAGCATACAAATACAAACCATAAACTAAGATGACAGCCAACACCTCCTTGCTTGCCAAGCTACCAAGGAAATGGTCAGAGGGTAGCATTCTGAGGATTTTCCCCCCCCAATTAGATAGCCCTGTTGTGGTACTGTAGGATAAGCACTGATTGCTAATTGTAAGTAAGGTCAGCGGTTCAAACTCACCAGCTGCTCCTTGGAAACTATGGTGGTGGTGGTGGTTGTGTGCCATTGAGTCAGTTCCGACTCATAGCGACCCTGCATAAGGTTTCCAAAGCTGTAAATCTTTATGGAAGCAGAAATCTTTCTTCTACAGAACGACTGGTGGATTCAAACTGCTGACCTTGTGGTCAGCAGCTCAACTCATAATCCACTATACTACCAGGGTTCACAGGGGCAGAATTCTGAGGGATGCTGATAGAGACTCCAGGTGGCATCTTTTCTTCATCATTAACACCCAAGAGACCAGGTTGGGAGACTTGAGTAGAAAGACATTCCAAAGCCTCAGAAACTGTGGCCAGTCCTAGTCCTGGCTTTATGGGTCTTACCATTCCCAACGATTAAATGGATAAGCCCTGCCCTCCTGCACTTGCTATACAGAGATCAACTCCACTAGGTCCATGCAATTACAGAAAGGACCAAGCTGAGTTCCTTAAAGGGCTTCAGACACATTCTTTAGAAATACCATGGCCATACCCAATTATGTTTAAAGGAGGTGTCCATAGTTTGCAATTCTTCTGGTATCTAGCAATGTGGAAAGCAAAATTCACTTTGAAAGTATACCCCTGAAATTTTGAAGATGAAGCTAGAGATGCCTGTCAGGAGGCAATGTAAGTGATTTGGGCAATTCAGTGCAAGAAAGCTGAGGAGACAAAGCTGAGTCTGGAAGAAGAGCTGTCTCAATGGGGTTGCCAGCCTGGGAAGGGTGTGAAAAACTGGAAGGGAGGAACGCAAGACTGACTCTGAGGTAAAATTCATGCAGAAGGAGATGGGTCACTAGGGCAAAGGGAAGATTTCAGGCAGCCACCAATTTCAGGCAGCTTTGTGAAATGTTATTTGACCATTACTCCAAGACTTTCATCTTGGGCCAAGAAAAATACATGATTTCTAACCACAAAAACTTGAGAAACAGACTAAACGAAACATGTTTCTTTTGGATTCCACATTGGAGAGAAGTCTCAGATACAAAGAAAGAAACACAGCGTCCAAGGAGCGCCACCAAAGAGGGCTGTGTGCACCACAAGGATGGGTGTACATATGTGCACGAAGGCACATGTCCACCATCTGCCTCCACCTAGTGCTTTCTGGGACAGCTCTGAAGTGGGGGGGGGAACAGCCCTCACTTGGCTGGGCTGCAAGACCAGGCCAGACCAGATGGTCTCTGCCTGCATTTGATTACCACCTACCAAGCTAGCTGGACGCAAGTCTGAAGCAGAATTTGGAACAGCCTGGCCTCAGTCAAACACATAACCCGGAGTCTATCAAAAGTTCTCTTTTTCAAAGCAGGTTGCCCGGGCAATAGCCAAATGAAAAAATAATTCAGTCTTTAAAGGCTTTTGGATGGGCCTTGCTTGGTCTGGACTTCTTACATGAGGCCCTTCTCTAGTCAAAACAATTCTGCCTGACCAGCGAAGCCCCTCTTAGGAAGTGTCTGTCACTCACATCCTCCAGGAAAGGAGAAAATGAGAGGAAATTGGCATATGCTATAGCACATGATTCAGGTAAAATATGAATCAGAGCAAAGAATTTTTCTAACAGAGGCTTAAGGGACTTCTACAGGGATAAATGAACAATTATACCTCACTAGACTGGCTGTTTCAAGAAGTAGCATATGATCAAGAGTCAATGATCTGAAGGAAGAAGTCCAAGGTAAAGAACAAGACACCAGGAACATATGGAATATAAACGGAAATTTTTCAACAAACTGATGCAACACTACAGGCACTCACTCATCTATGCCAAGAAATTTGGAAGACAACTATCTGGGTCACTGACTGAAAGAGATCCATTATTTGTACCCATTCCAAAGAGAGGTGACCCAACAGAATGCAGAAACCATTGGGCAGTATCACTGATATCCCACGCGAGTGAAGTTTTACTAACGATAATACAAAAATGGCAGCAACCATACATTGACAAAAAACTTTCAGAGGTTCAAGCCGAAATCAGAAGAGGATGTATGAGGGATATCATTGCTGACATCAGATGGATCTTGTTTGAAGGCAAAGAAAACCAGAAAGATTCCTACTTTACTGTATTGACTACGCAGAGCCTTTCAATTGTGTGACCCATGACAATCTATGGACAACATTTCGAAGCAGGAGTACTATGTTGTTGTTGTTAGGTGCCATCAAGTCGGTACCGACTCATAGCAACCTTATGTATAGCAGAACGAAACACTGCCCGATCCTGGGCCAACCTCACTACTGTTGCCATGGTTGAGTCCATATATGCCACCATTTGGCCAATCCATCTCGTTGGGGGTCTTCCTCTTT